GTTTGGTGTGACGGGGATTTGAAGAGACACGAAGAACAGTGTGCTCTAATGCAGTGATTCTCAACCTTTTCCAGCATCATTCAGCCCTCTAAGTTTTTCACAACAGCTCAACTCCCCCCAAATTCGAAAAACGTAAAAAAAAATTAAATTAAAATGAAAAAATTCTTTATTATGACTTAAATATACATCAAACTACAACTAGTATGAATACAACAAAAAATAAATGTATTTATCAAACTACAACTAGAATAAATAATAATAACTAATGACTTTTTGCTCTTGAATTTGTTCTATAATTGATAATACTCATTTACCCTGATCCTGATCTCATTAACCCCTGAGTGAACCATTCACCCAGTTGAGAAGCGCTGATCTAATGTCATGTAAAAGTCGTACTCTTTCTACTTGAAATATGTTTCAATAGTGGGCTACATCAGGTGTAAGTTATAATAGGTATACGAAAAACTACCGTTGTAGCAAACAGGCTTTAGTAAGATTAGTAAAAAAAAGAAGACTTCAGTGATCGGAAAACTATTTTGAAAACTTAAATAATAGAATTTTTGTTTGTTTCAGAAATTTCACGCAAACAGCCGTCCCTAAGAACGCTAAAATCCAGCATACATCCCACTGTGTAGCTTTGCGCTAAAAATCATCATCAACAGTAACAGTATTAAAACTTGATTTCTGCTATGATCGGGAGTGGCCTAATGGTTAACGTGCACGGACTGTGAATTCAGAACGCGCTCCGAACCAGGAGTGACCAACAACTTTTTCAATTCGGTCAGACAAGAGTAACTCAACAGCCGGCGGTGGGTGCTCTTGACTAGCTACCTTCCTGTTAGTGTATTAGTTAAATAATCCGTAAACTTCACCGCTAACCCACCGAAGGACTTTACAATATTACAGTTTACTTTGTGATATTTCCAGTAAACCTATAAGGAACTTTTAAGACTAAATTCAGGCGTTTAAGATAATAGTGGTCAAATGAATTTAAATATGGGATTGAAGTAACAATTCTTCTATTAAATCTGTACTTATCAAATTATAAGCCTTGAAGTAACTACAACATTAAATAGTTAGCAAAGATGGCTTTACTCTTAATTTACTTGCAGTACTTAAGACTTACCTTTTCTTGGTGTGGTTCTCGATACTCCAACACAACCTGATTCTTGCCTTGGACATTTCTTCTTGTATGAATGGCCATCTTCAACCCTTCTTTAACAAGCAACGACATGGTAGCTTGGACACTGGGAGGTCGGCTCAAAACTGGAGACGGGACGCTGCAGGAACTGGTGGAAGGAGAGCTCGGACTAAGGATGGACTGGGGGGATGAAGTTAAAAAGTAAGAACATGTCGGATCAGGCATATCAACTAACGTGGTGAGGACCTCAGGGGTGTGGGGTCTTAACCCATTTCCTTCGAAGTATTCTTGACTGTCCGTCGGAGGGTATGTAGTCCCAAGGGGGCCACAGGAATCGTACATAGGGCATTCAGAGATGATGGGCGAAGTGGCATCATAGCCGTACATGATGGCATCAGCTTACATGGACAGAAAGGGAAACTCCAAGTTAGCTACAACGATGCTATGGTACGAAAGATCCAACCGTTGGGTTATACCCTTAAAACTGCACGCTTTCTAGCTTCTTGACCAAATTTCATCTCGTTAAATATCATTAGTCACTGCATAAAAATCCAACAGGCGTCATTATCTGAAAAAAAACACAAAAAACACAGAACCTATTAACCGCTTGCCCTAATATTATCTACTTGAATTTGTTAGAGCAATAAACAACGACATAATCGTCGTAATCTCTTTATATAACTCTGATAAAGGTATTGATAAGCGTTATTTCATCATCGGGTATTTATCACAATCCACTTTAGAGTTATAACAAAAGAGATGTTACAACTAGAATATTGAAACGAAGGTATCTCCGAGTTAAAAATGAGGGTTAGTGAACCATGTTATAATCTGTAATCGATAACATACATTATGAAACAGCACTCAAAAAATGTTTAGTATATTCTAAACAAATGTCAAATTTCAAGATGGTTTAAAACTTATGCTTCCTGCGTGAGATCTATCATTATATATATATTGTTATTAATAAAAGATGCATATCGTAATGAAACAAAACAGATTATTGACCAAAATATAGTTTAAGAGTTTTCTTATTCTCAGAATACATATAGTGTTAAATATTGAAAGTTTTGTTTCGTGTTAACATATAGAAAGTCAACTATCAGTTCTTTTGATAAAAGTGCTTGTAATGTCGTTGCTTCATTGGATCAGGATTTTGAATCCCAGTAGGTGTTGGTTACATATTTTGAATTGGAGCCAAGCAGAAAAAAAAAATTTAACTTTGATGCTAGAGGACCAGTTTTATATTTTGAGAAAAAGAGAAATAATTACTAACTGGAATGGCCTTACTAGTACTAGTTTGCCGCATGACCTTCTGGGCTATATTTCATTTGGTAAAGAGCTATTGATTCTCCTCGTCCTAATTGACGAGAATTTCGAATCTCAGAAAGTTCTGAGATGACGTCTTTTGAAATACTATACCCATATTAAGTAGTGTGTTACAGGTAACCAATTTTGCCGTTTGTTTGTTTGGTGATAGACCTGAAACTTGCTAACGATAATATACGACAAGAGATTAGGGTGTGTGCCAAATAACTACACATGATACTCCATTGTCGACTGCCTTAAAGTCAATCTTTCGCATAAACCACGTATCCTGCCAAGCAGAAAATGCGCGTGTGTGTAATTATCATTATTGTCTCAATGTGTAGTTTGTTTGTTTATTTGTTGAATTTCGCTTAAATCTATTCGAAGGTTAAATGCTCTAGCTGTCTCTAAATTAGAAGTGATAAGCTACAGGGAAGGCGGCTAGTCAACTACCCGCCGTCAACATTCGGGCTACGCTAATCGAAATGGTATTGACCGTCACGTTATAAAGCCCCCAGGACTGAAAGGGGAAACATGATCGGCGATGGTATTTGGACTCATAATCCGCAGATTGCGATTCAAGCGCCCTAGCCACCAGGCTATACTGGGCCCAAGGTGTAGAGGTAATCATTTTAGTTTGACATACATTTTACAGAGAATTTAATAGGTTATATTAAGACGCTTTTCCAGCCTCATCACGTGGCGACATGCTCTATCTGACGACTGTGCATCTTGACAATAGCCCTGCAGTGTAGTTCCATTGTAAAAACGTTCCGTCGTAAGGCTGTCCTATCAAAAGCACACCATTCCTCTCTGGTGCTTTCCATATTCCATCTAGTCTACGAGAATGATGGTTTTCCAGTGCTCGTTTCACTAATCTGATCCCATAGTAATCTACAGGTGCTGTATCTGGCGGCTTGACTGATATGTCTTCGAATGGTTTGTTTGTTTGTTTGGAATTAAGCACAAAGCTACACAATGAGCGTTTCTGTGCTCTGCCCACCACGAGTATCGAAACCCGGTTTCTAGCATTGTAAGTCTGCAGACATACCGCCCTGCCACTGGGGGGGCTCTTCGAATGGAATAACATGAAAACCCATTATATTCTCTAGTGGCTTCAAGTACGGAACAGTTTAAAAAACATGTCGTGGAAGCAACTTGCGTACACGTGACTTCTGACGCTGTTCCAGGCAGAGATCCTTCTTTACTGTGTTGCGTGCTGTTACCTGGGACACATGGACGTCTTTTCACACTAATATTTGTATTTGTGGATTATCACCTGTTACAAGACGCCGCATTTTGCTTTCCACAGCTGGGGAAAGACTTGTTGCTAGTCTTTTTTGAATGGTCCTGGTGTCCCAAGTTGATCCATATTCTTTTGTTTTCCAATGAAACTAACTACAAGGGATATCACCATCTTGGGATTTTTAAATCCCCGATCTCAACACATCTTAATGATATGAGTGTTTGAATATTTTGCGTCGGAAAAGGCTGTTACATATGCTTCTCAGAATCAATCGATTGTCAGTAGCATCACACGAAACGCTCTGATGCAAGCCATTCCACCATGACTTTATATTGGCTGTGTTTGTTATGTGACACGTATATTAAGAATCGTTTTAATATAACGTACTTAAACTTGTATAATCAATTAGAATTATCAAAGAGTTATGAGTAATATTTTAGAATAATACTACTATTGAACATAAATATTAATGATTCATATTCTAGATATGATGAGGCTGATCGAAACCCCAGATCTCACGAGTCCGATTTCTACACTTTCTTATGAACAAACATTTCGTTGTAATTTCTACTTATAGACAATTTAAATACAAATTTGAAAACATTCTTATTCTCTCGTAGTTAATAAATAAGGTCTTACAAAAAATAAAATATTTCAACTAAAACGTGATCGTCTTTCGTACAATCATCCACTTTTTTTAAAATCAGAATTCATAATTCTTGTGACGATTTCATAGTTATAAGAGCCTCGTTTTGTATATATATATATATATATACATACTCCTGATTTAATTTTATTGGCTACGATCATAAACAATTTCGCTATATCTGTTCCTAGGTCAAAAGCTATTTTGTCGGAGTGACTGATGTAACTTTTATCTAATACTTAGCCACCGACTACAGTATGTTTCAGAGAAAGGACTATCTCTGGACGAGATAGTGGGTCGCGTCTGGTAAAATGCTTTATAAAGATAAATAGAGTTTTCATAACCATGTCTTAAAAATTTTAAAGTCTTTATTATAATTATATTTTGGGAACTTATACCTCAATAATCATATGGTCTATATTTCATTATTTGCATATAATACTGCTATGAAATAATTTTTTTTATAAACCATATCTATTAGACATACATATCATACTTTCGTCACAAAGGCGAAGTATCCAACATTCGAAGTTCTGGTTTTACGATATTTTTTACACGTTTTCGAGCTTCGTTGGTTTCGAAGTATACCAAAAACATACACAGCGAAATTGAAACGTTAAGAGAAATTGCAGAAAATGTGGTCCACAGTGGTAAAGTCACAACATAACTGCTGTTTGCTGATTGTTTTTATACCATTCGCTTCTAGTGGAGATCACAAATTTATTCATTTTATGTACTTGCCTCTTATAACACTTAATGTAAAGAACTAACCAAAAAATAGGAGATGGATCACTCATATCCAATGTAAAATATATAGGGGGACCCAAGCGGTAATTAATGGGATTAATTGCAATATTGAAGGTAATTTACACTTGTGTATGTGTGTGTGTAACTCGTATGTTACCATAGAGACCTTGCAACCAACTAAGTCATGCCCCCCTCAAGTAATTGGAGAAGTAATACGTTAATTACGTTAACATTCAAAAGTTTCACAATTGAAGAGCAGTAAGATCACAACCTAATATGCACAATACTTATTAGCAAATATGGAAACAACGCAATGTTCAAGCCCTTCGTAATATCACCCTCTAATATGACTAATACTTACCATAAAATATGGAAACAACACAATCTTCAAGACAAAATTGAGAAGTACATGTGATATGTTTACTTACTTCAGTCAGTTCGTCGAATCAACGTTTGAAAGTTTCACTTAGATTAAGTACTTTTTAACTCATTACTTGACAGAGCAATAAATACTTGGCAGAAGGTTTGGAAATTTGGAATATCTTGTCTCTATATGTTGATTATTTAGCAACGCTTTTACCAAGGAAACTTCAGAACTGCACAAATTTCCAAAGGAATTCCCCTTCCAATACTTGTTACTATAATTAGAAGTGACTTAACTTGAATTTGAAAATCTGAGTTTACATCGGTTTCGTTCTGTATACGTGACTGAATTATAGCAGCAATTTAGGAATGAATGACAAAAGTCGTGAAGTTGAGCTAGAACAATATAGAGTAAACTGATGAATGATAAAAGTCGTGAAGTTGAGCTAGAACAATATAGAGTAAACTGATGAATGATAAAAGTCGTGAAGTTGAGCTAGAACAATATAGAGTAAACTGATGAATGATAAAAGTCGTGAAGTTGAGCTAGAACAATATAGAGTAAACTGTAAATGATAAAAGTCGTGAAGTTGAGCTAGAACAATATAGAGTAAACTGATGAATGATAAAAGTCGTGAAGTTGAGCTAGAACAATATAGAGTAAACTGAGGCGAATCCAAAAACGATTGTGTCCATTCACTTTCCTTTTGAATCTTGATTTGATCTGACGTTTCTACCCAGTAGTAGCTATTTTTCATTCATATTGTCCTATAGATTTAGTCTAGCATAGCGTAAGTACAAAAGCAAGTTTAATGACGTTTCGTTTGACTGCATCAAATGTTTCTTTTCTATAAGTAGCTGTTTCAAAAATTTCGAATGCGTTGTTATTTGTAAAGTAACCGAATTTATATATTTTTGCAATACTTTATGCGTTGTTATTTGTAAAGTAACCAAATTTATATATTTCTTCAATACTTTAAAGCAATATACATATGTTAATATAATTCATATATGCTCAGTCAGTTCTCGAGAAAAAAATAATAATTTTTCTATCAAAAATGAATTTTTTCATGCCTCAATATCTTTATCACACCTTTTGACAGTATAAACCGTTACTAGTAAGTCCAAATAAATGTACAGGAATAGAAGTTTAATACTTTAAGCCTTTAAATATTGTTGTACAAGTGATTTCTGTGGACATGTAGGCTAAAAAACAAACTTTTCTCGAGGAAAATTGAACGTTTTATTGAGAAACGAA